CACTCCACGCTTGACTCTGGAAATGACTGAGCTGAGAGTTAAGGTGATGCCTTTTTGACGAGCGTTTTACGCTCCTGTGGGCGCAAAGACTGCAGTCAAATCCGTCGTCACGATTTTGAAAATGACCTATACAACCTACACATATATAGTGTGGACCCCGGTCAGCTTCCCATAGGTACCTGCGCGAAGCACCCGCAACGCACGCCTTCAATGCGTCTCCTGTCCTAGCTTCTGATGGAAATCCTCCTTTCTCTCTTTTTTTTTGTTTGCGGTGTACTATATTCTCTCTATTTCAGGTATAAACAATTCGCGATTACCGCTGACGGAATTTCACGTGCTTTAATAGGTTCCAAGAGCTTCACTCTTGTGTAGCAGTCTTGTGTTTTCCATTTTTTCTCTGAAAAATTGAGATTTGATTGAATATTAAGATAATATTCCTTCAAAAGCTTCTTGTGTAAAATAAGAGTCTCTTTCGGTTTGATTTGTAAGGTGTAGACAGTGTCTCAAGTCAAAATTGAGCCTTCCGAGAAGCCAATAGGCATTTGTTTACTGAAATGTCCACCTTTTTGAAATTTTGGTACTTTTCCGTTATCCGGACCCATTTTTTCAAAGGGCTCTCATATTTTACGTTTTGGTCTAAGAATAATTTTCTTATAGATTCTACGAGGACTGCCTCCTTGCTAGTGTCGCGAAAAAATTGACATGTTTTGGTCCATTTTGACACGTTTTTTTTTTCGAGATCATTTGTGGTGAGGTAAACGAGCATTTGTGATCACTTAAAAGCTGTCTAACGGTTTTTCATGAGCGGAAAACAATCATGAACTCATTTCAGAACATCTCGCTTGCTTCAGCAGTGATTCAAAAGGTCTTTCCCTTCGACCCCTTTTTGCCATGCGAATTTAGCCAGAAAAGACTACAAATGATAGCTCGAAGTACCTTGCTGCTGCCTATTCCGCCTTTTGAATGACAGAATCCTAGCGCATTTCTTTATTCTGAGCAAATGTAATTTGCTCATCGATAATAGTATGTCGTTATTATTACAACAGTGTTCATTTCTAAAATTGTTTTAGCTGAAAATGGGATCATGATCGACTAAAAAACTGATTGAACTACGTCGTTAGGTAGGGTAACACAAACTCTTGATAAAACCTGTTAAACATGTAGATGACATGCAAATTTTTTTGACTCGTGAAAGAAGGTTGACACTCCTTCCTATGATGCTGGGATCAAATGTGGTACACGAAGAGAAACAATATCCTTCTTTGAAAAAATGGGTCCGGATAACGGAAAAGTACCGAAATTTTTGACCACTCTAGTTTCTACGTCTCCGAAGAGAGACGTTTTAAGAACGCTGTTGTTCTTTGATTTTTCTACGTATACTTATTACAATTTATCCATCAGTGCAAGTTCGGAATATGTATCCATTGATTGAATTTGAGGTACTCGTGGAGGTTGACTGCGTTTCATTCTTGCATACGTCTCTTTCGAAGTGAACCTAAAGGTTTCCACTTTACAATTTTCTCCTTTATGAGCATAAATGTGCCCTACTGCTCATGAGTGAGGCGAGAAGCATTAAGAAGGGCGCGCGCTGCGTGCGCGCAGCGGAAGTACCTATGGGAACCTGGCCGGGGTCCACACTATAGGTCATTTACAAGCCGTGGCACCGGATTTGGCTGCGGTATTTGCGCGCACAGCAGCATTGAATACTCATACAGGCTCCACCTTAACACTCAATCAATTCCAGCGTCTAGACACTATAAGAGGAAAGCTGAATAACCATTGAAGTAGAGCTGAATCCAAGAAATTGCGGTTTTCTGAAGGCGAGTGCCTGTCGCGCGCAGTCGCACCATCGTCATATTTTTTCAAATGCCGTATATGAGGACGTGTAACGGCAGACTGGGACGCATGCGCATTGTCAGGAACCATCGCACGAGATGGCCGCCCATTTTAATATCTTTCTTGATTCCTAATGAGTGTCAAACGAATGTTACTAGAAAGGCTTGTGAGACTCGCTTCGCAGACATAAGGCTGCGTTCATACTGATCCCGAAGTCTGGGAACAGTTCCACCACAGAGCTCGAGTTGAGCGCTGTGCTGGGACTGTTTCCGAAATCCGGGATCAGTATGAACGCAGCCTAACCTTTGATTCAACTTGGCTTGGCTTCGTTAAGGCGGGGCTTTGTTACGTAAGTAAGGCCGCTCACGCCCGCGACGCACCTGCGTCTCTCTCGCGCGGGTGCTTTCTGATCATTAGCTAGCCTTAATTAGGTCACGAAGCCCGGCCTTGTCAGAGCCAAGCCAGTTGAATTAAATGTTAATGTACTGAAAATTGCTGACGATGACGAAGACTAAGGAAGTACTAGCTAAAAGTCTTATCAGCTTTCCGATTGTAAAGCAGCCACTAAAGCAGGTTTGAATCTTAGCAGGATAACATTCTGCGCCAGAATGGTAATTCAACTTTCTCACTTTTATTGCTTTTTCGTTAGATTTTGATTTTACTATTAACCTATGACTAAGCTTTCATAAGGAAAGGATACCAGGTCGCAATAGCTAACGGGATTATTATGCATCTTGTTAGATGCGTCTTGATGAGCTGATTCCAAATCTAACTTCCATATGCTAAGCTTTCTAAAAGAAGCTATGAGGGTCTGAACATCCAATTTTGGCAAACATACAGTGCCACATATTCAAAAATTACTTGTTCAAAAACATGTATTTATGTTCGATTTATGCATACATTCCTTGTCATCAGTGCACTCGCTATGCCAATCACTCACTTCCAAGCTGGTTTTCAAATCATATTATGCATCAAAACCCCAATAACTTCACACCTTCGACCACCCTTAGCTTATTCTAGAGAAGCACTTAGCAGACATGGAAGTTAGATTTGGAATCAACTCACAAAGACGCATTTAATAGTATGCATTTCATTTCGGTTCGTCACTGCGATCTAGTATCCTTTCCTTGTCAGATTTCCTACGTCGCTTATCTGCTACTTTCATTATCCAGCTCCCATCACATGCTGGACAGACCTTCTTGTTAAACTGTCGGCTGGAAACGAAAGAAAATAAGGCATTAAATTCAAATAAAACCACCTAATATAAGATCTATACGACTGAACAACTACTTGAGAAGAGTGGGAAAAGAAGAAATGGGACTGCAAAACGTCGCCCATGAAATCATGCAAAATTACAATAAACGGTAGGTACAGTAAAGGTAAAAAATATTCACTTATCGGTCGATAAAATCACATAGTCAAATGAGCTCCTCCATTCTTTGTAGTGTTGAAATGAGAAACATTATGTTCTACGGTGTCGTCTAAAATGCATCGAGAACTTTGAATTCAGCATTGGGTATACATCATTTGATGGGACTTATGGCTTAGAGATATAAGCGCCACTATGGCCAGGTTGGACCAAAGGTTCGATCCCATCCCTATGCCAGCCAAGCCCTCTATCTTAAGGGGACGCAAATGGCCACCAGAGTGAATTGGTAAGATAAAACCACCGACTTTGTAATCGGCTAGCATCCGCAAACCATTGTAAAAGGCCCGCAAGCATTCAGTAGCTTGCAAGTTCTCTATCCTTTTTTATATCAACTACTGGTCGCGATATTGGCGGTTCTGCTGTAATCGTTATATTCATTCTATTCTCAATTGCGATATTTATGTTATCTAAATTGACTACATGGTTACGATACTCAGTAGTTTCACCAACTTTTTGTAATCTCATAAGGACACGTGATGACTGTTGGAAATGTAGATACGATACCGCTTGTATTTTTGGAAACAACGCAAAGTCGCCAGATCTATGTAACATCACCGCAGCGTGGCCATATCTCGCTTCAGAGTTGACGATATCTCAACCTAAAGACCATTCGACTCAGCTAGGCACGGAGCATCTTCTGGTATATAGAAGTGCCTGTTCGGACACAGTAGAAGGCCAGATTCCACGAATCGTTTCAGATTTTTGGTTACCCAATGAGTGCATTGATTAAGCACACTAAGTAACCTATCGTAGGCAAAAAGCTGAAACGATTCGTGGAATCTGACTTTCTACCTTTCCAAACGGACAATTCCATGCATCAGAAGGTACGCAGCGCCAAGTTGAGTCGGATGGTGCCTTTGGATCAAGAATGTCCACTCTAAAGCGAGATACGGCCACGCTGCGGTATATCACATACATAAATCGCTTTTTCTTTCAAAAAAATAAGAGCGGTATTGTACACCACTGCGTCACCTCTGCGAAGCAGAGGCTCGCACTGGTCCTACCATCTATGTACCTTACCTATTCCTGTCGTAATAATGACAATGAAACTCACCGCTCTATGCAGACTGTCACGAACAATTAGTAAACAGCTACTCATTCTCAAAGCGATTTTAAGTGAGATCGGTAATTTCGCGTGGAGGAAACTTTTATCCCAAGAACAGATGCAAATTTGAATCAGATTTTGAGTTTTTTATGGTTTGGTAGTCGCCATAAGGACAATAATCACCGTAGGCTACTTTACTATGCAAAAATCTTCTCAAATAATCGGGTAAAATCTTAGCAAATTGAACATTTATGCAGTCATTCTTTCTGGCGCCACTTTCGTAGAGTAATAAACTTTTGTTCACTATTTTGAGCTATAGTCTATGGATTGCACATAAATTTGTCAAATATACTCATAACTTTGGAAAAAGTGGTGCCGCAAGCACTATTTTGCTGGCCAGAATTCAAGCGCATCTGTTTGAAGCGCATTTTTTGAGGGATCCACTCAACGGATCCGCTTGTGCTTTTGGCGGACTTTCACGCTGGTAACATACGCCTTGCAAAATTTGGGCTCAGAACGTTAGCTGGAACATGCTGTACGAATTTCCTAACGGACAGACAGACACACACACACGTACAAAAAGACGTAAACATCCTTAGCCGGTTATTATGAGTTATGATAGAAATCATGGCTGATCTTATTCGGTTTCACTTATTCAACCAAAATTCATTTATCAATCATGAAAAGTTTTGGGTCTTCTTCTAATTCGTACGAATCATTGAAGTTTTAGAAACTGGCGAAGCACAATACACCGCATCTGTTTACGTAGCTTTCTCTAGCAATAAATTTTGGGATCGTCTTTCCTTTTGCTGTGCACTTTTCTAAACACTGCAAAAATTGGGTATAAAAACTCAATGCTATCGGCAAGATACATACCTTGAGCAGTTCCACGTTAGCCATTTCGCTCTCTCGCTTTTTCTTGGGTACTTTCTTCGTTAAACTAGTATCAAGCGTCGTTGACACGTCTTCGCTCGCTTCTACTGTCGTCGAAATGGTATCTAATGGATCCTCGCTCTGTACCATATTCATGGTATATAAACACACCAGAACAATAACAAGCAAATTGGCGAGCATATTATCGACGATACTTTCTGAAAAATTCTCAAAACCTAATTTTTGGCATACAGTTTATGATTTGCTCCGTTTGGAGAATTGTTTCACACATTGAATTTTCTAGAAGCTTGCAATGATTACAATTCTGATTGCAGTCAACCAGATATGACCATTCCATCAACAAATTGTTCAGCAGTCGCATAGATTTTAAGTAATAAATATATTTTGAGATAAGTCGTGTAAGGTAGGGTGGAGAAAAAGTACATTCCCTCAGAAAGCTCGAAACGTTCACGTGGCGGCAAGTTTTCCTGGGAAATCGACATAAACACCAGGATGAGAATGCATGAGAATACCTTTTAGCGTTTCAAGAACTAGCCCTATTTGTCTGAAATTACATACGGCGGTTTATCCTTACTTACAACGCATCCCATATCAAGCTTTGCCACTCTCTTACAAGTAGGATTTTCTTGGAAATTCTTATTTTTCCAAAGAGAACCGAGATCATTCCACTGCTTGAAGATAGGAATGTCCTCGATACATTCTAAGAATAATTGGTCCGCAGTTGCACTAGGAGAAAAGATGTGAATTTTTTCAAACAAAAGTCGACGTAAAGGGTGCGATCAAAAAAATGGCGCAGAAATTACGTACATTTGTATACCAAACCAACATTATGATACAGACAAACCCGATATTTTTCATTATTTCAGTTTCTTTTTTGAGAATATGGAAATTTTCAAGCTTTAATCCAATTTATTGGGCCAGCAGATTGGCGTAGCCCTTTACGCCGCATGGGAAGTAGTTTTTCTTGTTTAGCCAAACTTTCACGTCGCTGATCATAATGAGTATAGATTTTTGGAGAGGAATGTTCTACATATTAGCTAATTTAACACATTGACTACCGCTTGACACACATGGTGTGTCAAGGCTTGACACACCATGACTCTCATTTGAATAGCTACTAGTTCGTGCCAGACCAACTCTGGGACTTTTCTTTTACGCTGGATCTATTAGGTTATGTAATAAGTTCGTTCGCATTTTTTTGTTTTGATTTTTTCTCAGTATTTTGCACAGCATTTGGCAAAATGTTAGTATGCGTCCGGAAGCTCTTAGCCTGCTCTGTCAAACTTCTGATATTGAATTTTCAGTTCTTTTAAAGTTGAACAAAAATTTGATTACACACCAAAAAAACCGAGAAGACAAAAATTCCATTTTCGACATCTTTTTTCTTTTCTTTTCCGTCATTCACTTTTAAAATTTATTCAAAAAGCTTGACAACGAAGAAAAACAACTAACTAATTATCTATGCACTTACAGAAACTGTTTATGATTGCCCATTTCCCTACACCGACCGTTTAATGCAACTTTTGCAAAAGTCGGCGTAGCAATGCTTTGACGCAGTGGTGTTCGTTTCTCACGTGCGTGGGCTCTGTGTCTCCCAAATTCTAAATGTTTACCATATAATCCATTTAATCGATGCTTTAGGGATCATAGACACATTGTCTTCCAATTCCTGGATTGTTCGGCTACACCCTTCCTCAATGGTGCCTTCAGATGCTCAACGTCGACGCCAAAGAAACAAAAAAACATACCTACTTTTGAGCTTACGGTATGAATTTTTGAAAGGTTTTAGCACCTACAAGTAATCTGCGAGAGCTACGATATTCTATTTTTACATGTCGCTAAATTTTTAAGCTGTTTCTTAAGCGCTCAAACCCATTCGAGACGCAGCATAATATAGTTGTCGAAAAGAAGTTTTTCGCCATATCAGATTTTTCGGTTTGTAGTCAAATTTTTTAGTCGACTTTTCAAATACTGGGAATATAATGATAGTAGAGCAGAGATAGAGCTTCCGAATGCATACTGAGCCCATGCCAAATGCTTTGTAAAATACTGAGAAAAAATTGAAACAAAAAATGCGAACGAACTTATTACACAACTTAATGGATACAACCTCTACTGTTTTTGCCAGCATTCCAACACTACTGTAGGTGTACTGTGGATGGAAGTGTGCATGACTTTATCTGGAAAACGTTGGCTGGTGCGAAATAGGCCTTGATCGTTAGTGTGTTAAAACGTAATATATTTACGGCTTAAGCGCTTCTGCCCATTGCCGATGATCCTGATCGTTATCGTTATTGTTATCACTATTTATCGGCATAGAGACGGTTTCAATTCAAACTTATCTGAAATCAATATCTCAAGTCTCGCCTAGGAATCGCCGGTAAAAATCAAATGAAATGTTTTCTAGTTGTAAGATGCTCTAGAAGGCAAATTGAGAAACATACTTATCCGCACCCCATGAATATCAATTGCTACTTTGTGCCCTGCATATCAAAGTGCCGTCATTCGAAACGTTGGCTTCCTAAACGTTTAAAGCTTTCAAAGTCACTACCGTGTAATTTCGATTCGTCATCCTCTACTCCAGATGGGGATGATGAAATTCTGATGTTACACGGCAGCGGCCACTAAGTCTGCCAGATGTTAAAGTTGCACTGCGAGGAGTTGTTTTCGAACCGAGAAATCCGCTCTAGGAGCAGCAGGGTCTGCGGTCGCTCCTCCCATGAGGTCATTGTCCATCCAGCCATCTCAGACATTTTGACGGTGCAAAACCCGATTGTGCTTGCCACGTCAAAACGATTCTTATTTGCAACTGAGCGGTATTCATTGCGCTCGTCCGCTCTTGCCAGAAAAAGACTCCAGATTGCAGGATTTTTTTGAAGGATTCTTTGCTGTTTGAACTTCATATCCAAATCCAAAGCAGTGAAAAAGGAGTGGCAAGTCTGCAATCCAAAAATTTGGTGGACGTTGCTTCAAACTTGTTGCTAGAAAAAACGAGGCCATGTACTTCAGCACTTGTCGCCTTTGGCATTGCTTTAAACTTGAACTAAATCTTTTTCCTTGAGAGCGAGGCAAAATATGTAAAAGCTTAAACAAGGGCACACTATATGGTAAACCGCATGCACGTATTAATGTACAGCGCAAAAACGAGGATAGTTAGCTTTCACACAGTGCCAGCTCAATGAATTCTGATGGCAATCTTTGGTGCGCAATAAGATTGTCTGTGCTATCTAAGTTATATACTTATGAAGTGGAGCATCTGACAGTGATATACAACGAGAGTTCCATTAATGCTTCGATATTCTTTGTGTGTCTTAGAATCTTTGGTCGTTCTTAAGCTAACATTTCGATTGGCTTATTTTATACCATTACCAAGATTCTAGACATCAAAGTGTAATTTTCTAACAAACTTACAAAGCGTACTGAGATAGCATGATAAGGCTTTTGTGTAGTGACTCTTGTGTTAAAAATGAATGCAAAAAAAATGAAACCTTACCTTGCCTGAAACAGAACTACTAAATGCGGTGTCTTTGGATGAAGGCGATTTATCTATACATGATTTGAATAATGCGTCTTGCCCGCTGCTTAGAAATTCAGTGAAACGATATTTTGTTGATGCCTGCGCTACAATAGCTAAAGGTGCCTATTCAAAAACAACAATGTTTTCAGTTAAAACGCTGAATGCATATCACGCATAGCAAAGAGTTCAGCATATTTGATGCTCGTTTCAATGCACTCCATTTTTTTGCGACTAAGGAGTTGCCTTAACAATGAGTCGTTTTAATATATTACGATAGACATCAGAAGTTCTTTCACTTCTGATTTTTTTACGGAACAATTCATATACCTCTCACTTCTTATTGGGAGGGTACTAATCGATAGAGCACTGCAAGCTCAGCTCTGTGAAATAACCTATAAGCGTACGCACCGTGGTATACTTCGAGTCAGAAGCCGAATTCTAATAGGTTGGCACATAAGTTTTGCAACCTTGTCCATAACTTCTTTCTCTATGAATGAGGCGCATTTAAATTTTGATGTTATGTAGACTCGGAAGTGCGCTTTAAATCTGCGCAAACCGTTTGATTTTTTTTTGGCAAAATGAAAAAGATCTGCGTATTCTCCTAAAAGCAGTCAAAATTGAGGTTTTATGGTTTTTTTTAGCATATATGAAGACCTACGAAAGTAAGTTAACCAAATTCAACCGGAACTGTGGGCAAAATAGTCTCAGAGGTTGGCTACTGAACCCAGCGAAAAAAGAATTGTAATTCATTGTTATATGGAAATCTGGCGATTTCATAAACTCAAACAAGTCAAATGCGTCAAAGTAGCTTGGATAATTCATCAATGCCAGAGAGTCAGAATAGTCGAAGATTGGCGAAACTTTGCACGATGGGATAACTTGACATGCTGATTACGAATATCATATTCCATTGTTGTCAGAGTCAAAAATTAGCCTAGTGATTTTTTGTAATTCAACTTTTTTGTAGCAAAATAATTTTTTCAAGCAAAATGAATATCATTTTCGTAATCAGGATGTCGAATAACCCCCTTAGACCAAGTTTCACCTCAATCCGTGTCAATTCCTTTTTCTTTCCCATTTAAAAATTGCCTTATCGTAACTCTTGAACGTGATGTTGGAATACGGCAGGAATGGTTGCTTTCGCTATTAACACGATACTCATTATAATACCAGAAAATGGAAGCGCCACATCGCAAAACACACGAGTTATAAGAAAAAGTTGCAAAACTTATGTGCCAACCTAATAAGAAGTTGCGGCCATTCAAAAAATTCAAAAAAATACTACCGTTGCTGTACTTCTTCCCAAACTAAAAGCTGAGAAAGTGGGAACAGTTACATTTTCACGTTTACAATTTCAGAAGCTTGTGATATACGTTTTCCTGTGTGGGAGCAGCACGCATCGCTTTTTCGTGCACAATAATTTTTGTTCACTCAAATTTCAGCCTGAAACAAATACAGCAACGACACATATGAATGCCTCATGCACAGTGTGGATGCTTGAGATAATGGGGGATCCGGTAAGTTTTTTGAAAAAGAATGCATTAGGTCGTCCCAAAAGTATTTTCGCTTTTTTTTGAATTATCGCCACAGTCCGCAGAACAAAGGTTTACAGAAGCACCTAATAGCGTTCGATGCAGTTTTTCATGCTCTTTCGAATGGTCATTTCTATTTAGCAGTTAAAGCATTGAGCTATCAGCAAATTGTGATAAGTGCGTCCCATGCTTTTTACCAAGGTCAAGTTCCACTATTTTTCTAAATTCTTGTACTGACCCCACGAAAAAGTCCAAGTGGCCTGCCAATAGAGCAAAGAAAGTAGGATACAAAACAGTTTTGATTTCCTTCCCAGAGCTCTCTATAATTTTTTGACAGAATTTTGAACAACATCATCGAATTTTAGGAGTTCCATACCAGGCGCAGACTCGTCAAAATCCACTAAATTCTCGGTTCTTTTGAAGTGGATTAGGATTCAGCACTAATTCTACGAAGCAGGTGAGCTTTCCGGGTTTCGAAATGTCTAATTTTTGATTTGTCAGGCACAGCCTGGGGTCCCTCAGAAAACATGAATTTTTTCGATTTCATCCTCTAAGACTTCTCGAATCAGGAACAAAAAACATGTCCCTGAAAAAGGAGAAGATTCTGCGTCGAATAACGCCCGGTTGCTCGCCGGCGTTGTTCTAAGAGGTTTAAAGGCAGCGGAACGGCAACATCCAACAGCTCGGGATTTCAACGCGGTAAGTTCCTTATCGCCCAGCTATAAAAATGCTATCCCGGTTGCACAGCATGCTTTCCCTGCCGAGAGAATCGCTCTCGAACTTACGCGCGCAGGCCAATCTTACACGCATCTGGACGAGTTGGCAATTTCCTTCTCACCATTGGAGGCTGCCCGCCGCAACGCTATAACCATTGGGTCCTGCCACGATTTAGCGTCATTGGCCGTGCTCCACTCGTCCAGTATCAAAGGGAAGGGCATTAAAAAACGCTCATTTTCGCCGCTTTCAAGTTTTCGAAAGTGGATTTTTGAGATCAGCGTATTGAAAAACCCCAGGTAAGCGCAAATTTGACTAGGTTGAGATTTGCCGAGCCACTGCCTTTGAGTTGACCAAAGATAGAATTTGATAGCTTTGAAAAAACAATTTTAAAATTTTTCAAAGCAAGCTATGGAAGGAGATCAAAACTGTTTTGTATCCTTCTTTTTTGCTCTATCCACAGGCCACTTGGACTTCTTCGGGAGGTCAGTATAAGATTTTACAAAAATAGTGGAACTTGACTTTGGTAAAAAGCATGGGTCGCAGTTTATCGCAATTTTCTGATAGCTCATTGTTTTAACTGCTAAATAGAGATGACCATTTGAAAGAGCATGAAAAACTGCATCGAACGCAGTTAGGAGCTCTGTAAACCTTTGTTCTGCGGACTGTGGCGATTGTTCAAAAAAAGTGAGAATACTTCTGGGACGACCTAATATATAATATTTTTTTTCAATATTTTGGGCATCTAGACTTTCATATTCTAAGTCGAGGCATACTAAAGCTGGTACGTACCCTTACATGTTTTCTCATAAAGCTTGCTTTGCTGCATCAGGGCCTGTAGTAATCCCCCCTACGTCATAACGTATGAGGTCGCGAAATAAGCTCGAGCTTAGTTTCATTCCTCAATGCATTGATCAACTCACCGGCTATCCTTCAACACACTCGTCGAATCACGTCGAGCAGAGCTCGTGAACTAAGCTCGAGCTAGAGCTCGCGATCTTAGAACGACGTATCTCACGAGCTCATACACGAGCTCCACTTTCTTTCTCAGATAGTGGGCAATGGTGAGAGACGCAGGAAAATAGCATGGAACTTTTTCATGTCGTGCAGTACATTCTACCGAGACTACGTGAAGAGGGATGAGAAGGGGGTTCCGCATCTCACAGTGGGATGTGTAGGACTCGTTTGGGTTTTTTTCACAACCTGACGCTTCATCTTTGCTAGATTTTACGCTCCTGATTTTTATTTCCCTTTGTCATCGCATCTTCTTGAAGGTGCCATTTCCTGTGCGTTCCTCAGTCATTAATATGCCTAGCAAGTCGTGATAAGAAGAGAAAGCTAAAAAAACTGATAAATAAGCATGACGTTTACTTCCACTGTCTGGAAGAATATCTGAAACTGCATATAGTTGATTTAAAGGCAGTAGAATGAGGTTGACAAACTTCAGTGCTTGTTTTACTATAAATACAGTACTCTTTGTTCAGGTCTTCGACGTTCTAAAAAAGGAGAAACCTAAAACAGTTTGTAAAGCCACAGCAAATGCCAAGAACTTCACAGCTATAGAAAAGTTTGTTTCGCAGCAAAATAAGACAAATTCTTTTGAGAACGTATTGATTAGTTACACTCTGATTTTTTTTAGATTCGCGACATAATCAAGTTGCAGAAATGTTACTATGTATGGAAAGATAAACTTCATCCCGTGGCTGGAGATGCTCTGCGAAAAAATACCTATGCGGAGTTGCCCTTCAGGTTGCAGGTTGCTTTTTCTAATTGGAGATGTGAGTTCATGTAGAACTCAGTTTTGCTTCACCAGTTTAGAGTCTTTGGTATTACAAAGCTTTATTTTGCCTTCGTCATTTCATAAATTGGGAACCGAAAAGTCTCATTATTCGAGTACTACCTTCGCTGGCCTGCCTTTCTTCTCGGTGAGATAACGTTTATTGAAGCTCAGATTTCAATTCCCTAATTTGTTTTATAGGTGAGTAGGAAGTGGCTGAAATGACTTTAGCTTTTGAAAAAGCAAAACCTCCAAAAAAAGAGTAGATGATCATCTCGTAGACCAACTGATTTTCACCACTGAAATTACCAAGGCTTACGCCGATTACAATCGCGATCAGAGATCAAGAATAATTTCTCTAAAGCCATGGTTTTTTTACGAATCGATTTTACAAGCCTTTGTTTGCAACCCGCTTCTTCCAAAACTATTCTGATTATGACACAAAAAGCTAGCTCTGATGAGCGGCCCACATTTTCAGAGTTTGAGACGCAAGCGTTTGCTAACTGGATAGCTTCACATGTGCCAAGTTGTCGCTTTCAAACTGGAAGGTGTCGAGGTGCCTAAAATCCCAAATTCGCACTCTACCAGATTTTTCACTTGATAATTCAGCTTCTGGAACCCTATACTGTCTCCAGCGAGCAGTATTCAAAGCAGAAAATATAATGAAAAATAGATTACCAGCTATTAAAAGGGAGCAAATACCGCTGGAGTCGTCAAAAATTGTATAGGATCCTTTGAAATTCCGTATTTTCATTTGTGACGTCTTTAGCTTCCGCGATTATAATTTATTCTAGTGAAGGCATGCTCATCTTTTGCTGAGTGCTCCGACATGAAACGGGAGTATGCGATCGAGTTGTTGAATGTTGGGATGGTTAGAGATGCAGTAACGAATTCACAGCTAGGACTGTGGTGTGCCGTCAAATTGGGAGTCCTGTTTAGGTGAGCCTTGTCGAAAGCTACATTTATTTTCAACCATACCAGTTAAATGTAAACATGCGAGCAGCCAATTTTTGACAATTTTCTAAACTGCCATATCCAAATTAAGCTCAGGGCTCGTTCAGACCGCGCCGGAACCCGCCCAAACCCGCCCGATTACGTCCGAATTCGCTCTAATACGTCCTCCACCCGAACCCACCCGAATACGTCTGAACCCGCCTGAACTGCCAAAGCGCAGCAGATTGGATGCAAATGGCATAATGGAGCACGCGTGCTATTGGTCCTTCTAGTATCGGAGTAGTTGCAAAAGAAGGTCGGTATGTAAAGTCGAGCTAGATACGTGTGACTAAGATATATATCGTCGATTCTTGCCATTCAAAGACTGGGTGCCATTGCGTTCGACCAAGATAGTTTGTGCATAGGAGAGACAGCAGACGGTAAGAGAAACAAAAGAGCGCTCGATCACGGAGACGTCGATATGTCCGCAGTCTTTGCGTGCTATGAATTGCCTATAGACTAGCGGCCCAATGGCTAACAGGTGTGAGAAATGTTGTATTGAGTCACCAAAGCCTCGTATAACACTTTTCCGATGCCGTAAAAGCTAATAAACTTCATCTAGTGATGTTTTGATTGAAAAGTTCTGCTGGGAAGGCATGGTGCGCATATAGTTCTAATGACGAAAGTACGACTGCTTGCAGAAGAACGTTTGGAGTCAAGAAAGATGTCGCGTTTAGTGAAGCTCATTCTCCAAAACAGAAATGCACACCTTACAACTCGCGCTTTTTCTCGAGACTCTCTCGTATAGCGTCCTTCACGTAGCTCTCTTTTCTGTGGCTTTTCTTAGCTGATATATTGTACGTTCTTTTTGGTGTAAAATTTTTTCAAAGCGTTAGCAGCTTTTTCCGTCAAACATTAGAGGAGGATGAGGACGATTCGCGTCCGTACTGCTTTCCACACAGGACTACTGTCGCGCGCGGAACACCCTGCGGCGGCTTTTGCCCAAGCAAAGCAGGCGGAAGAAAGATTTGCGGCCTGCTGACGTGTTAAGACAAGTCAAAATCAGGATAGCGCTGGAGACCGCCCGTGCGGAAAGACTGTCTTCCACAAGAGCTTAATTTCCTCAACACTCTAGCCTTAAAATATTAGTTTAATTAGACTCCATTCCCAGTTTCTTAGCCAAAATGCACTAATTTTTTCCCTCTAAAAGTCCACAGTGAAGTTGTCCACTCTTTCTTTGTTATTCAAGGAACTGTCCCGTCTGCAAAACCCCCTTTTTTCAAAAGCTTACTGAAGAAAGTCACAGTATCTTCCTCCCCCTTCAATGCACTTCTAGTCAGTATGCTCACAGCGTCCCCCTCATCTTTCGTGCCAAAACCGCAGGGCCCGGCGTACGTTCGAAGGATTTTGGAAGACTAAGCCCGCCGCAGAATGCAGAAAGAATATGTATTCGCGATTAGCACCTCAGAAAACCCCCTAGACCAAAATTCAGCCAAAACTGAAGTGACTCTTCTACTTATACCCACCTTTGCCCCACCAAGTGGCGTTTTTGTGAAAAAAGAATGTAATATTTGTGATCCCCATCGACCAAATCTCAGCCAAATTCACAACTTTGAAATTTTGGGCCGCGGACACAAAAATAGCACCGTTCGAACTTCCCCGCAAGCACTCAGATAATCGCCGGGGCAGGCGGTCCGCAAACTCGCGCTTTTCTGCAAGCGGTCAGCAGAATTTTAGGGCGTGGCCAAACCTTCAGCGGGCGGCACTTCCTTTACGGTCGCATATTCTGCCAGCGGGCAGCAATACAGCATTTTCTGCAAGCGCTTGGCAAATAATTTCTTTCAGCGAGCGCTCCAAACTTTCAGCAAGCGCTCGGACTCTTTTTACGCAGTTTTGGGCGTAGTCGAGAAGGTGAGGCTCTATGTAGCAGAGGTGTCATCGATGGTTTGATTAGCCAAGTTTGGAGTACCTTCTTCCAACGGAAGGCACCCTGGGCAGTGCGGTCCTCCACAAAGGACCGTGCGGCCCCAACAATTTTGCATATTCTCGCGGAAATACCGCGAGACTGCGGCCACTGTGCCGCAACTTATCCACAGAAAGACCGCGATAGTTCTTCGAGCGTTCGTCCAATAATTGGCCAAAATTATTCCAAATTTCTGCAAGCGGACCGGAAGAAATCACCGAACTACTTTTCCGGTGCCCGCTTGCCTAAAATTCGCATAGCCGCCTGCCCCCGGCGAATATTGAGCAAATCCAGTCCTAGTAAACACCTTATTTTCCAAAATTTTTATGCCAAAGCGTGAGTCTCCTTTTTTTCCTGGAAGTTCTCTCTATCTTTATTCGAAGCATGCTATGCTGCAGCCGATTAACAAATGGATAATGCGTGCGGCGATCGCTTTTACGCGTAGTTCGCGCTCATCTCGTGGATGCACAAGTCGGGGATCTTCATGGCGCGCTTCTGTGCCGCTTTTAACCTAAGCGAAGGCGTGAAGGTTATCTACTATTGAGGCGCGTTTGATCTGACGCATTTTCCTTGGATTTTCTCACTCAGTTAATGGTGGTTTTCGTATAGTTGTGTGATCGCTGAAGTTCGGTGAAGAAAGAAGTGAATGTTAGAATTTAACCCTAGTGTCAAATTACTCATTTTTTATAAAATATGATTTCTTACCGTATTTTCTTTTCTTTATCGTCCACGCTGTTCGATGAAACTGCGATTAAGTTGGCGCACTTGATGAACATAGGTAGTTGATATTTGTCGTGGAGCACGCCACATCAATGGCGCATTTAGCCTAAGCAAAAGAAGGAAACGAAACCTTTTTTGCTTGTAAAGTTAGAGTAATGCAATTTGTCCAAAATACGTGCTCCTGGCATTTTATCCATGATACTTATTCTAATAGTCGTCGCTTTGCAGCAACCCTTTGGGAAAATTCTAGAATATACTTTGATTACTTCCACAACGACTTATAATACCAAATAACTGGAAGCATCTATATAGGCTTCTACCGTTTTGTGAATACTCAAAGCTGCAGAAACTTCATATGTGTGTTATCGATGAGGACCGGACGGTCCTCGACAAAGGACCATGCGGTCCTCATCAATTTTGCATATTCTCGCGGAAAATCCGCGAGAATGCGGCCAATGCGCCGCAACTAATCTATAGGAAAACCGCGATAGTTTTCCGAGCATTCGCCTGAAAACTGGTCAACATTTCTTCAAATTTCTGCAAGCAGGCCGCAAGAAATCAGCGAACTATTTTTCCGGTGCCCGCTTGCTCATCGCATGGCCGCCTGCCCCCCGCGATTACCTGAGTGGGTGTAGGCCCTTCTAAACCTGCCCTAATCGCGACGGCTATAAGAGGTCAGCGCTAATTAGAGGTCACTCCATGATTGGCTAGCTCGCGGGAGCGAGCAGCTGACCTGGGCAGACGCGCTGCGGAGGCGGACGAGTTTCACATCGCTGGTAACCTACTCCACAATGAGATTCTGGAAGTAATTCTCTAGAAAATACCTAATTTCCCAAATTCCCTAGAATTCAATAACTTAAGTTATTCGCTCTACTCTACACTACTTAAATCGCCGGCTACTTTCTATGGTGGTATGTTTTTAACCTATAAGACATTTTCAAGTTTTTTCGACTTATTTTACTGGTTTTTTAGTTCGTTGCTTGCCCTACTCTCGTAGGTCTTTGTGAGTTCGACTGCATACTCTACTCTCCTACGTTTGCCTCCTTGCAGCATCATCTAGTCACATTCAATTAAAATGTGCACTACATGCATGCCAATAGGAAAGCATACGTTTTTTATGATGAGTTTTTAGTTTTTTATGAAGTTTTTCTTACACCGTCCATATCAAAAACGCAATCAAATAAAAATGCATCATCTTCATTTGGTAGCGTGATCTACATGGATTGACTTTGGTAGCGACCTTTTTTTGCTGCACGCATCATGCTTTTTGAAGCGTAAATCTTCAAATGCACGTTCGTAAATTTTACTAGGAATGAGAATTTTAAGGAGATGATAATTTTCTTGGAAAGCTACAGAGATGCACTGAAATGTCAGAAGGAAATACGCATTTGATAAAGAATTAGCGTAGATCACAAATTTAAGTTATAATTGGCCTTTATAAAGAGTTCTTACACAAACTTTGATTACGTGGGCTTTCCTCAATAACATCAAGCAGCTCACATTAGCAATATGATGTGAAGATGCACGAGGTTATAAGGATCGCACACACAAGGGATATAAATGGAAAAAAAGCAAAGAAAAACAAAGTTCGAAAAAATTCAAAAGAGATTCATGAGAAGTTTTTTTATGAATCATGGAAATGAAAATACTTCGGAAATGTCCCATAAATCATAAACATACCTGCTTGGAAGTAGGGAAATCATAAACATACTTGCTGGGAAGTAGGGCTCAGAATACCAAATATTCAGAGGA